TGGACCGGGCCGCTCCCCTGGACCCGGCCGCTCCCCTGGACCCATGCTGAACTGATCATGGGTTCTGAAGCGTTTCTTGCCTGAGTGAACCTGAAAGAACCCGTCACTGTGTTCCTGCTGTTAGAGGTGAAACCAGCAGCCGGAGCACAGGGGAGCGCGGTTGGCGTCTGTTTTTGAGGAACCGGTTGCTGATTGGCTGATTGGTTCCTGTTGTCCCAGGTTCTGCTGGCCGGTTGCAGAGCCGCTCTCTGGTTCTGACCCACAGGAAGAGTCTGATTAGTGGTTTTAACGTTCTCCGCGCTCTGGATCTGGTTCTCCAAGTCCTCACACAGCTCACACAGCAGGTCGTCGTCAGCCGGGTCGTCCCAGACCGGGTCGGACGAGAAGAAAGAGTCCAGGTCCTCGTCCAGGAGGTCGGAGACAGCGGGCGGCTGACAGTGGGTCAGAAGTACCGCAGGTCTCTGTGGAAAGCTCTGAAGGGGTTTGGTAGCTGCTGTGTTTGACGGGTTGGAGCTTCCAGCTGAAGTCTTTTGATGAAACGGTTTCTGTGAGCCCGGCGCCGCTGTGTGTGACGTCTGCCAGGTACGCTGAGACCCGGCACTGACCGAAGCACCGGTACCGGATGAAAACCTGCTCTGATGAGTGTCTTTAAGTGCTGTTTCCGAGCTGTAATCCACCTTCAGGTTTGTCCGTGTGTCTGTCTGGATTTTTTTGGCGGAGAAATCAGAATTAGACTCCAGTTTGAAACTCGTTCTTTGTCTCACATTGTCCTTCTCCACCTTGGAAGCAGCTGATTGGCCGACACCTCCACTAACAGGAACATCTGCTGGACTTTCCCTTTGATGTTTTGTTTCGCCGGCAGGTTTCTGGGTCGAGCAGTGACTCGGAGCCGTGAAGTTCTGTGGATTCTGGGTCATCTCCAACACCAGAGAGTCATTTAGCAAGTCGTCGTTTTCCCAATCGTCCTCAAACTCGTCGTTCGCCGCGGCGCCTTTAGTGTTTGTCGTAGAAACACCAGAGGTGGAGCCGCGTGAGGAAGGTTTCCCAGAAGCCTCTCTGGGAGACGGTTGAGCCGACGACACCTGACTCAGATCCCCGCTCACGTGTTGGGTCGGCCCGTCAAACAGAAACTCCAGATCGTCCTCCATATGCTGATCCGGGTCTGTGTCGGCCGCGGTGTTCACCGCTGGTTGGCGGTTTCCAGGAAGCGAAGGTGAAAAGTCCGAATCCAAGATGTCGTCTGACAGGAGCTCCAGACTCTGCTGGTGCACGTCCTCCACCTCTTCTTCATCCTGGTGAAACATGTTGAAGTCAAACTGTTTGGCGAGTTTCAGCAGGTCATCCACTCCGTTGGGCCTGAAAAACAAAATACAACTTAATGATGGAAAAGAAGAGTCTGTGTGTTTAACCTCATTTAGCTTCTGGGCGAATTCTACATCCATAAACCAGAATTTAACAGTAAAACCTCAATTTAAGTCTTAAAAACCTTATTTCTTCACTTTTCTTTAAAGCCCCATTAAGGCCCGGACTCCTGTTCTTTGGTCTCGGAGCTCCAACGGGTGCGTAACGCTTTAAGTCGACGTCATGTGACTGATTTTGGTGAAACTGGATCCGATTTTATGAGGAAATGTTGTGTGGTTCTCCCTCTGACGTCCTCCGGCTGCTCCGCCTCAACTCGCTGTGTGTCTGAGCTTAATGTGACAGTGAGTGACCTTAAAGAACATCCACATGAGTATTCTAGTTTTGAGTCTTATTCCGGATATAATGCTAATCCAGGTTTCTGAAACCAGGATATAGTGTTTGCACGTGTGAAACAACCAGGATACTCCCTAACCCTGCTCATAATACTCACTGCACATGTAAACACACTGAAAGTTACAGAAAGAAGCTTTGAAATCTTTTCACAACCTCAAAATCTTACTGACCCTAACTGAAGCTAAAGCTCAGTCTGCAGCCGGGACGTCTCCACAGTGCAAACTGAACATCACCGCAGGTTCCGGTTGGATTTGTTGCTTCTTCTGAACCTACCTCGGGGATTTCTTCTTGGGTTTGGGAACCTGAACATCCGGCGTGCAGGGGATGGCGGCGCTGTCTCCGATCCACTGCTGCAAAGTCGGCTCTGCAACCTTCGGCCGGCCGTGCTTCAGAAAGACGACACAGGAACGTTAAACAGTGAGAACATGAATAATCCTTCACAGAGTGATCGCGGCCGCGTTACGGACCTTTGGAGCGATCCTGTTAACGATCTCTGAGATGTCCACAACTCCAGCCCGCTGCTTCTTGCCTCTTTTACCTGAAAGAGAAAAACAGGATCATCAACAGACCTCCAACAGGAAACCAAAGGTGTTCAGTAATAGCATGATGAACTTTATCAGACATTCTGGAGAGAAACTACTTGATGATGAAGTTTACCGAGTCTGTTGGGCGAAGGAGAGGTGGCGTCCCAGATGATGTCCTGCTGAAAGTCGGAGTCGTTGTGCGGAGACTCGGCGCTGAAACCAGGACCCGCTCTGGATCTCGGGACTCTGGTCGGGGTCTTAAACTCTGGAGTAGAAGACGACTGATTCAGAAACAGATTCACAAACTACAGCATTTCCTGTTTAACCTATTCAACGCTGTGTGCACTCCACGTGGAGGTCAAAGGTCAAGGGCCGGAGCTGGTAAGGATTCAGTAGTAAAGCTAAACTGCATTTAGACATACTGAAGGATTATATTTGGTTAATTTAACATTAAATAGATACTTTATTAACCCCCTTCAGCTATCTGTTGTGGACAAAGACAAAAACAATAAATAAATAGATGAATAAAACAGTGCTGTTCAATAAATGTGCAGTTTTCATGACAGTTGGTTAGTTTCATATTCTCTGTTCTTACTGTTACAGTCTGAGAATGTACTATATTTCTGTTAAAATAATAAAATATAAATACATTAGACTTTAAGTGGATTTGTTAGGCTCTTTGGGTAAATTCGGCAACATTATTTCAGTTAAATAACTTTATTTCCAAAGCTTTCCAAAGCCATCCAAGGCTTGTTTTGGTTGAGGACTCCAGAAAAAAAAGAGACAAACTATTAAATAAAGTTTAAAATGTTCCAGTTGTAACTGCTATGTGTTGATTTTTATGTGTGCCGAATTGAAGACTGATAGCTGTGGTTTGTAGAAAATATATTTACTCATGTTTTCTGGTGCAGGTTATAGCTTCTATAGACAATAAAACCTATAATTGCGAGGAATGTGAATGCAGTTTGGTATATGGTTGTCTCCATGGAGCAGAGCGGGACGTTGCCAGGGCTTGTACCCGCCCCAGGAGGCAGGGGAGGCGGACAACAACCGGACACAACCACCGGACACAACAGAGATAGGTTCTGACCCGGTTGTTGGCTCTGTGGAGAGCTGACCTCCGCCGCTGTCTGCTGAGTCTGCCGGAAACTTCTGCTCAGTCGGTTGTGTCTGCAGGCGGCGGTCGGGCCGGGCGGAGGGTCGAACCTCCGGGGGACTCGGTGCATGGTTACCGGCGGCGGCCCGTTAACGGTTCCAACGGTTAACGCGGAGCTGAACTTTGTTATTTTCTCTTTATTTTGATCTCATTTCGGTTTCTCTGCAGAGCTTTTGAAGATCCCGCCATCTTGTAGTTCCCAGAATTCCTTTCGAGGATGCGTTCAAGAGCAACGTAGCTGCGCGGACATGCGCACTGCGCTCTTCTCTTAATCAGACTGAATTAAAGTTTATATATTCAATTAAACTAATAATCAGCTAGTTACTCAGAAAGATCATAATATACTACTCACTACTGTTTTATAAAGTAATATAATTACTTGTTACTCCCTGCCAACAGTAATTAGTTACACTACTAGTTTCATTACTTTTATGGTTACTTAAGTGGTAATTGGGTCTTTTTCTCCCCAAAATCTGACGATTAAAATCCAGTTTTCTTTGTTAAAATCCAATAATGGAATATTTCCAGCTGCTGAATGTTTCCACCTTCCGAACTAGTTTCCTCCACAGTTATAGAAATAAAGGCAAAGATGTTGGATTTCAAATTAATATAATAAAGAAGAGACAACAAAAGTAATGCTGTAACCAGTGCTGGGCAGTAACTCATTACTCCCCAGTAACTAGTGGTGTAACTTTAGTAGCTATCTCTATTCTTCTGAGCCAAAGAGGCTGGGAAAACACAACATAATCCTTTATAAAAATCATTATATATATACAACAAGTCAAAGCGAATGTA